CTTTCACTCATCTGTTTTAATGCAATATACATCATTCCTCCCCTCCTTTTTTGTCTTACCTCAACCCTGATGTCAGCCCCATTTTACAATAGTGGCCCTATGCAATATATGTCCTTTTGTGACTGAGATATTTTACTCAGCATAGTGTCCTCCAGAGTCATCAATTTTGCATATTTCATGAGTTGCTTATCTTTCAATGCTGCATAGTATTTCATTGTGTGAATATACCAGAGTTTCTCTATCCATTCATTTGTTGTTGGGCACTTGGGTTGTTTCTAGCTCTTTGCTATTGCAAACAAAGCCATGATAAACATGGGTGTGCATATATCTGTTTGGGTGGTGGTTATGGTTTCTTTAGGGTATATTACCAGTAGTGGAATTGCTGGGTCAAATATTTTTTCTATTTCCAATTTTTTGAGAAAGCTCCATACAGCCTTTCATAGTGGTTGCATCATTTTACACTCCCACCAACAGTGAATAAGTGTTCCAGTTTCTCTACAACCTCGCCAGCATTTGATGTTTGCTGTTCTGTTAAATTTTGTTATTCTTACTGGTGTGAGATGATATCTCATAGTTGTTTTGATTTGCATCTCTCTTAGAGCTAGGGCTTTTGAACATTTCTTCACGTATTTGTTGGTCATCTGAATGTCTTCTTTGGTGAAGTGTCTGTTCATATCCTGTGCCCATTTTTCAACTTTTTTATTTACTTTTATCTTGTTGTGGTGATCGAGTATTTTATAAATTCTACATATAAGTCCCTTGTCAAACATGTCATTACCAAATTTTCCCTCCAATCTGTGGCTTCCCTTTTTACCCTGTTGGAGAGATTTTTGGATGTGCATAATAGCGCATGCTGTTGAGTATTCCTCTAATCCTGATGCCACATTTCATCTCATAAAGTTCAGCCTTCTGAATGATCTGTTTCACCTATAAATTGAAAAGGTCTGGATATTGAATGCACCCCTGGAGTACATTTTTTCTGATTTTAAACCATGCAATGTTTCCTTGTACTGTTCTGATGACTGGTCAAAGTATAGGCTTCACATAAGCACAATTAAGTGTTCTGGAATTCCCACTCTGTTCAAGGTTAGCCATAATTTGTTGCGATTCACACAGTCAAATGATTTTACACTGTTAATGAAACACAGACATTGTTCTGGTACTCTCTGCTTTCAGCTAAAATTCTTCTCACATTGGCTACAATGTTCCTAGTGTCACAGCTTCTTCTAAACCCTGCTTGCATGTGACAGCTCTTTGTAGACATACTGTTCTGGTCATTTTTGTATAATCTTCTTCAAGATCTTGTTTGTGTGTGATATTAGTGTTATTATTTGAAAATTTCCACTCTGTCTGATCACTTTTTTGGAATGGGAATAAATATGGATCACTTCCAGTCAGTTAACCAAGTGATTGTGCTCCAAATTTCTTGGAAGAAACTAGTGAGCATGTCCAGGGCTTCATATGTTTGTTGAAATATGTCAATTGGTGTTACATCAATTCTAGGGGCCTTATTTTTTTGCCAATTTCTTCAGAGCAGCTTGAATTTTCTCCTTCATCATCATTGCCTCTTGATCATATGCTAGTTCATGAAATTCTTCTGTGTCACCCAATTCTTTTTGGTACAGTGGCTCTGTATGCTCTTTCCATCTTCTTTTGATGTTTCCTGGATTATTAAACATTCTGCCTATAGCATCCTTAAGTATTGTAACTGAAGGCATAAATTTGTCCTTCAAATCCTTCAGCTTAAGAAAGGCTGAGTGAGTTTGTCCCTTTTGATTTTCTGACTCAAATTCTTTGCACATTTCATTATGATGCTTTGCTTTGTCTTCCCAAGCTGCTCTTTGAAATCTATTCAGCTCCTGAACTTCTTGAATTTTTCCCTAAGTTTTGGCTTTTTGGTATTTAAGTGCAACAATCAGAGCCTGTTCTCACACACATCTTAGTCTTTTTTTCTTCCTCTGTGTTTGTAATGATTTTTTTCATTCTTCATGGATGAAACTGTTGATATTCTCCCATAGCTCATCTAGTCTTCACTCATGAGTATTCAAGTCCTCAATCTATTCCTGAAATGGTTTTTAAATTCATATGGGATAGACTCAAAGTAAAACTTTGGGTCTTGTTAATTTTATTTTCTTTGTTGTTGTTATGTGCTGTCAAGTTGCCTTTGACTCATAATGACCCTATCTACGTACAGTAGCCCTGAAGCTGTCCTATCCAGAGCCATTGTCACTGACTCTGATACATTTACCTCCATTACCTAGTTACTATATCAATCCATCTCATCCAAGGTGTTCCTCTCCACCCTTCCAAGCATGATGTCTCTAAGGATTCTCCTGGTCACATACCCCAAGTATGTGAGATGGAGTTTCAAAATCCTATTTGTATATGAGTAGTTGATGATCTATTCCACAATCAGAGCCTGACCTAGTTTTCACAGCTGATATTTAGCTTCTCCAATGAATTTTTCCACAGATGTAGTCCATCTGATTCCTGTGTAGACCATTAGGTAAATCCCACTGTTTTTTGTCTCTTGTGAAAGGTATTTGCAATACAATCAATAAACCAATCATTGGTTATACAGAATTCTGTTATTCTATCTGTAGCTGCATTTCTTTTTTTTTCTATAATTATATTTTATTAATTTTCATAAACATTTACAGAGATTTTGGGTTTCCATTCATTCATTGTTGCACTATTCTCTCTACCCTCCTGCCAGTTTGTTCTTGTCCAAATGCCACAGTGCTTGTCAAAGCCAGTTCTGATTGATCTTCTTTGTCAGTGTGTCCTTTGCCATTCCCTATCACTCCTCCCTGAGAGAGACTTCACCCTGAGTCATAAGGAAAAGGGGATGGCGTATTCTGTTAGTGTAGATGCATTTCTTTCACCAAGTCCATGGGATGAGAAGTGCAGGAGAGGCTAGGAGAGAGAATTGAGCTGGATACTGGCAGGATGGGTGGGACATGCGAACACAAGTATAATGCCAAAGGGGGGCGAGGTGGGAGCAATATCTGTTATGTTAATTATGCAGTGGACAAAGTTATCTCATCCACTCCCTTGAGTAAAATAATTGTCTTTCAAATGTTTCTCTAAAGCTGAGCATCCAAATTAAGACAGACTAAGGAGAAGGATTGACCATCCATGTTCAAAATAACACCTTTGAAAACCCAATATACAATACAGCACATTTAGATTAGCCTAGCAGATATGGCACAAGAGGCCGAATCTGCATATTGAGAATCATCAAGGAGGAGGAACAGTTACAAACAGATACTAGTGATTGGAACTTGAAATGTAAGAAGTATGAATGCAGGAAAATTGGGGATTGCTAAGGAAGAAATGGAACACATAAATATTGATAATACTAGATATTGGTCAAATGAAATGGATCGACATGGGATATTTTGATTGTAATAATCAAATAATCTACTATGCTGAAAATAAAAAAATGGAGAAAAATCAGGTCACATCTATAGTTAAAAAGAACATATCTAGATCCATCTCGAAATACAATGTTGTTAGAGACAGGATGATATCCATAGACATACATGAAAGATCTTTTAATTCCATCTTCATTCAAATGTATACACCAACAACAAAAGCCAAAAAAGGAAGAAATACAGGACTTTTACCAACTTTTAGAATCAGAAATCAACCAGACATGCAACCAAAGTGCATTTATAATAATGAATGACTGGAATGCAAAAGTCGAGAACAAGGAAGAAGGATCAATAGTTGGAAAGCATGGGCTTGGTGACAGAAAAGAAGTGATTCCATGGAGTCACTATGAAATGACAACTAACAAGTGCTTGGAAAATTATATAACTCAAATAAAGGGTTTTTTAAAAATTTATTTTATGGACATTTTAATATATCTTTGTGAATCTCCAATGAAGAGCTTTTTACATATATAAATATCTTTGTCTATTTTCTGTGTATTTCTTGGGCTGGTGTGAGAATGTGTGTGTATACATTTTCCAACTCAAGTATACCAAAACTTTGCTTCACAAATTTGACTTTAAAATACTACTGTGAATCCTTATTTTTCACATCTGAGGCTTAATATTTATTTACTTCTCTTATCTTCATATTTGTTCTGTAACAACTCCTAATCTATCCTGTCACAAACTACCAAAAACAGCTAAGGATGGTACTAATGTAGTGCTGGCAAAGGTTCAATGGACAAAAATGCAGACAAAAGTGCATGTAAATAATTTTCAAAAAAATACTATCTTCAAAACATGATATAGTTATTTTTATTCTACTGTCAGTGGGTTTTTTTTTCTTTTTGCTTGAGGTAGAAAAGCTGAGTTACTGAGCTAAATTTCATAGACTTAGACAAATGTCTCAAGAGTCTTATGCCTGTTTCCTTAAACAGAAAATAATAGATAATGATGCTTTCTTGAACAGAAAATAATAAGATAATGAGTCTTAATTTATCTTTTCAATAGAGTGTGTTGTACGTATATCTGGATGAGGTAATATATGTAAAACAACTTAAAAGAAATAATAAAGCATTATTCAAAAGCATAGTATAAAACTTATAGTGATAGTGGCTCCTCTAAACTTCTACTTTTAGTGTTATGATTTTCCAAACTTATTCTCAGCAATATAGTAGCCTATAAAAAAGATGTAAAAATGTTCAGAAATATAAAGAGAAAGTTAAAATACTTTGTTAATACATAAGAACAAATCTTGAACTACTTGGTTTGTATGAAACTCTTAAAATGTGTATCTTCAATTGAAAATTTACCACTCTTTAAAATCATGTTCTCTAGATAAGACATATGTTGATAACAATGACCCATGGATCAATGAAGCAATCTCCAGCTATTCTTTTCCCCTGAGTTTATACAATGTACTTGAAGCATTAGAGAGTTTAAGCCAATTGCCATATTATGCCTGTACTGTTTTGCAGCTGCTCAAAATACAGGAAGACAGGAATGCTGATTGAGCTGTTCATGCTAACACATTTTCTATCTTTTTTCCACTCACCCACACAGAGAGTGCAGCATCCACACGAGTGTCCCTCCTGTGGAGGTTTTGGCTTTCTTCCATGCTCTGTGTGCCATGGGAGCAAGATGTCAGTGTTTCGAAACTGCTTTACAGACTCTTTCAAAGCCCTGAAGTGCACGGCTTGCAACGAGAATGGTCTTCAGCGCTGCAAGAGCTGTGCTGGTTAGTTGGGCATTCTCCCAGGAAAGCATCACTTCGTTAGCCCAAGGGAGTAATTTGGTATATATATTTAAAAACATGTTTATGGATTAACCAATAAACTTTGTTTGTTATAATTGCCTTTGTTTTGAATTTTTGCTGTGACCATTTTTACTGATTTATTAAATAAATACTTATTAGACAAATGGTATGTGCCAAGTCCTGTCCTAGACCGTGACTTATGATTGGAATCAATGGAATACCCAACACAATCTAAAAATATCCAAATTGTGATTTCTTGAATGTGTTTTGTTTTCTTAGTAATGACAATACATATCTAATAATGTTTAATACAATATTGTCTTATTTTCTGGGATATGTAAGTACAATTTCTCACATGTCCAGTATATTTAAAGGGGTCTCAGATACAGGGAAGAAGAAAGCTTTGGATAGTGGGAAGGGATATGATTCTAATTATATAGGCCAAAGTTAGAGGTTATGATCTCAATGGTAAATCATTAATACTTTCTGATAGACTTATTGGTGATGACACAAAAGCATCCTGAAGATATATTTACATTTATTTCTTAAAATTTTTAATTTGAGGCTTTGTCATTAAAATGCTTCCATAGAGATAGCTATAAAGTATCTTGTTTAGCTGCACCAAGAACAATATATAATTTGAACACGTAGATAATATAGCACGTTCAATAAAAACATTTCTATTGAAATTCTTGACTGACAACTATTTGCATGCATCACGCCTATGTGCATCTGAAGTAGTCTCTTATTTTGTTTTAAGACTTTGCTTTTATGTTATCTGTGATAAGGCAATGAAAAACATTTCTACACCTTGAAATAGGGAATGAAAAGTCTTTCAGCAGTGTAAGAATAATTAGATTTTCATCAAGTAATACTCATATGCAAGTTCAAACTAAAGCTAATGAAAATTAAATCCACAAGAATTAAAATTTGACCTTGAGTTTATCCCATACTAGTTTAAAAACCATCCCAGGAACAGGTTTGAGGCCTTGAACACTAATGAGCAATGATCAGATGAGCTGTGGGAGAATATAAAGAATATCATTCACAAAGAATGCAAAAGTTTATTACAAAGAAAGAGGATGAAGAGAAGACCAGGGTGGATGTCAGAAGAGATTCTGAATATTGAGAAGCTAGAGCAAAGGGAAGAAAGCAGGAAATCAAGGAGTTGAAGAGAAGATTTCAAAGAACAGCTTGAAAAGACAAAGCAAAGAATTATAATGAAATATGCAAAGAGCCTGAGTCAGAAAAACAAATGAGCCAAACCCTTATGTTGAAATGACTGAAGAACAAAATCAAGCCTTGAGTTGCAATATTTAAAGATGCTACAAACATAAATGATCCAGGAAACATAAAATGAAGATGGAAGAAGTATAGAGAGTCATGGTACCAAAAATAACTGTCTGACATGAAGAATTTAATGAAGCAATATATGATCAAGAAGCAGGAATTGATGGACTACCAATTGACATATTTCAATGAACAGATGCTGCCCTGACATGATCACTAGGTTATGCCAAGAAAGGTGAAGGACAACTATCTGGCCAACTTACTGGAAGAGATTCATGTTTATTCCCATTCCAAAAAAAGATGACCTGAAAGAATGTAGAAATTATTGAACAATGTCAACAATATCACACCCAAGCAAAATCCTGCTGAAGATTAGACAAATATGACTGGAACAGTACATCAACAAAGAACTACCAGAAATACAAGTTGGTTTAGAAAAGTCTGCGTCATGAGGGACATTAATGCCAATGTCATATAAATCTTGGCTGAAAAAAAGAGTACTAGAGGAATGTCTTATCTGTGAGTCATTGAATGATGATGCAAAGACATTTGACTGTAGGGATCACAACAAATTGCAGCAAACCTTGAGAAGAGTAGAAATCCTGGAACACTTGATTATGCTCATGAGAAATCTATACTTGGACCAGGTAGCAGTCTTCAGAACATAGTCAGGAAACATTGCAGGTTTCAAAAATGAGAAAGTAGTGAGTCTGGGATGTGTTCTGTCTCCATATCTTTTCAATCTGTATATAGGACAGATGACTGGGGAGGCTGGACATTATGAGGAAGGATGTAGCTTCAGGATTGGAGGAAGACTAATCAATAACCTGCATTATGCAGATGACACAACCTTGCTTGCTGAAAGTAATGAGGACTTGAAGCTTTTGCTGCAGAAGGTCAAGGACTATAAGTATTCAATAAGGATTGAAGCTCTACATCAAGAAGACAAGGGTTCTCACCACTGCGCCAAAGAGTCGGAACCAACCCACAGTAACCTTCCAGTGAGTTTTCAGAGGCAGTTAATTGTATGGGGCAGATTACTCATCCATCTCCCACAGAGCAGTTTGGTGGCCTTGGGACTGTGTGCCTTCAGGCTGCAGTGCAGCTTCTTTGCCATCAGAATAGAGAAGAGGTTGTGGTTGTTAGCAATTTCAGCTTGCTTGGCTCCACAATCAATAACACTGTTGGCACCAGCAGTCAAGAAATCAAAAGATGAATTGCATTGGTTAAGTCTGCTGTCAGGGACCTCTTGAAAGTGCTCAAGACTAATGTCAGTCTAAGGACTAAGGTGCTCCTGATCCAGACTATGGATTTTGCAATTACTTGCTATGTATCAGAGATATAGACAATGACTAAAGATGACAGAAGAAGAATCTGTGATTTTGAGTTGTGGTGTTAGAGAACAGTATTGAACATACGATAGACTGCCAAGAGAGCAAAAGTCTGTCTCGGACAAGGTGAAATGCAATTTCATTTTGGAGGTTAGGATGTTGAAGCTCCATTGCACATACTTTGGCTTATGACCAGGAGGAAACAGTCCTTGGAGAACGGCATCATGCTTGGAAATATGAAGGACAGTACAGGAGAGGAAGACCTTAGATGAGATGAATTGACACAGTAACTGGTGTTATAGGTATAGGTGTGTCAGAGTCAGTGAGATAGGCAGGGCAGGGTTCAGAGTTATTTTACATTGGGTTATTATGAGTAGCAGGTGACTAGATAGAACAACGACAAACAACAATAAAAAAAATTTTCATGTGGAAATAAATCAATGGTTCTCAGCTAAGATCTATTTTATCTTCCTTGAAATATTTGGAAATGTATAGAATTGCTAGTTCTCATTATAATCCAAAGGAGGATGGTTGCTTTTGGCATTTAGGAAATTGACATTAGAGTTGCCCTAAAGTCTCAAACTAGAGTTGTTGCTTTAGGCACCATCAAGCACAACTCAGAGCATCTGTATAAATTACAATATGAACCTGTGCCATTTTCATCATCTCTGACACACATGATTCTATTGCTGCAGTTACCGTGTTAAGCCATCTCATTGACAGTCTTCCTCTCTTTCATTGATCCTCCGCCTTTCCAAACATTATGCCTCTTTCCAATAGCCTCTCCTAGCACCATGACCTATGTATGTAAACCAAAGCTTCTACATCCTTGTCCCTGTAGCACTCTGGCTAAATGTTCTCCAAGACTTATCTGTTTGTTCTTTTGGAAGTTCATGGGATATTAGTTTTCAAAGTAAAAACCAATTGCTATTGAGTCAGAACTGACTCATAGTTGACTCTCTATTAATAGATTTCCAAAATTATAAATTACACAAAAGGAGGTTTCCCATCTCTCCCCTTTGGATCCGATATGCAGTCATACTACCATAAAGGGACTACATTTGGTTTAGCAGCACAACTCCCTATGGACTAGGTGAAATTATTCCCCTCAACAAAGAATCATTGTTCAACAAGGAATCATTGTTATTAGTTACTATCTAGTATGATTGATAGAGACTCTATGAACAACAGATATAAACATTGTCCTATCCTGTGCTATACTCACCACTCATATTTCCAAGCATGATGCTCTTTTCCCAAGAGTATACTCTCCAAGGAATATGCCTAAAATATGTAAGATGAAGCTTCACCAACCTTGCCTCCAAACAGCCCTCAGGCTGTACTTTTCTTCAAGACATAATCTATTTGGTTTTTTGTTCAGTATTCTTCTCCAACGCCACAAATCAGTTTTCCATTCTTATATCAGCTTAGTTATCTGTCCAATTCTCAGATGCATAACAAGCAAATGAAAAGATCGTGGACTTTATCAGGTGTAACTCAGTCATAATACTGACACCATTGCTCCTCAGTATTTTAAGATGTTCTGGACAGTGTATTTTTCCTGTGTAATACATCTCTGGATCTTCTGACTAGTGCTATCAAGAGTGTTTATTGTGGGCCCAAGCAGATGAAATCACTGACAATTTCAATCATTACTCTATCTATCATGGTATAACTTATTGGTCCAGAAGTGAGTAACTTTGTCTCCTTGATAGTATGATACAATCCATATTGTAGGCTTTAGTTTTTGATCTTATTTAGCAAATGCTTCAAGTACTCCTCACTTTTGGCAAAGAAGGTTGTGTCATCTGTATAACACAAGTGCTTGATGACTCTTTCTTTTATCCTCATAACATTCTTCTTCATAAAATCTAGTTTCTCAAATGATTTGCTTTGCATATGGAATGAATAGGTATGAACAGAGGATACAACCCTGATGCACATCTTTCCTTATTTTAAACCATGTAGTGTCCCTTGCTTTACTCAACAACCACTCTTGGTCTAGGTCTCACATAAGCATAATTAAATGTTCTGAATTCCCATTCTTCTCAATCTTATCAACATTTTTTTGTGATATACACACTCAAACACCTTTCCATAGTCAACAAACACAGACATACATCCTTCTGTTATTCTGCTTTCTGCTAAAATTCATCTGACATCAGCAAAACTCTGCTTGAACTTCTGGCAGTACTCTGTCAGTTTACTTTTATAACTATTTTTATATTATCTTCAGCAATATGAACCTGGATAAAGGACAAAAGTTATACAAGTATCCAGGTCTTTCATTCATAGGGTCACTATGAGTCCCCTATTACTTGATGGCACTTAACAACAGCAGCATAGACAGAGATCAGTTGGCCTAGTGAACAGAAAGCGATGCTACCAAGCCAAAGGTAGGTGACCCTAATCCACAGTTATCAGGTCTGCCTTTAATTGTTTTTGGTGAAACATTCTTATAGGTTGTATAGCCC